TCTGCATTCTCAGCCCCATCTCTTGAACTCATGGGTTTTACCAGGTTCTTCCTCCCTGCACTACAGTCTAGAAACTCGCTCAAGGCAGAAGGCTGGGGCACTGTAGGGTTCCTGGTTATTTTGCTCTGTCTCTGGGAATCACTATTCCTCATTGCCTGGCACCTCAAGTATGCAGATCTGTTGTGTTATATATTGATTGTTTCCTTTTCCCCTCCCATTCCCCCCCCCCCCACTCCACCGTGTGTATTTCATGTGGGAAGATCCAGTTCCTCTTAACTCTATTTTGACCAGAATCAGAAACCCCTAATAGATTTTAAAATGGAAGCCACACTTTACATATCTTTCAACTATAGACTGATGTAAAATTAATAAAATAATTAAGATTAATATGAAAATTACATTCAAACAAATGATTACAAGCAAAAATTCAAACTAAAGTTATTTCTTCTGGGAGTCAGCCTGAAGAAAGACGAATGTATTGCAATGAATTCTAGATACTGAATAATTTTCTGTAAACTGTATTATCTGGTTCCTGTATACATTTTAGTTGATAATGAAATGTTTTTGTTATATGCAGTTTTGATTTTTTAAACCTGAAGAGGAGAGCTGAACTATTGTTGAGTCCTTTCGCTTTTTGAGGGGTAGGATATTTTGTTACATATAAGCACAGGTTTAGAGTCAAATAGGCTTCATGTTGAACCCCAGCTATGTTGCCTTGGGCAAGTTAATGAGCTTTCTGAGTTTGCCTTCCTTCCTGTGTAAAATGACCATATTGCTATGAATATTAAATGAGAATGATAAAGCACCTATCCAGTGCCTGGCACACAGTAGGTGCTTAAGCAGTTTCTTTTCCCTCACCGCTGTCTGATATCATGTAAACGAATCTCTATTAATAAGATCTTCCCGCCGAAACCGGTTTGGTTCAGTGGTGGAGCATCGGTCTGCGGATTGAAGGGTCCCGGGTTCGATTCCGGTCAAGGGCATGTACATTGGTTGCAGGCACATCCCCAGTGAGGGGTGTACAGGAGGCAGCTGGTCGATGTTTCTCTCTCATCGACGTTTCTAGCTCTCTATCCCTCTTCCTTCCAATAAAATATATTTTAAAAATAAAAAAACAAACAAAAAAATAGGACTCTTTCCGAAATACCTCAGATATTTCAGTTACCTACAAAATCCACCCAAAATGTCACTCATCAAAATAATAGGGGCAAACAGTTATCAAGGGAAAGAAGAGAACAGCTTTGGGAATAATGACTCATGTTGCCTTGCCGTTGATACCTACGCACTAAACCATTTCTTCCCACCAAACAGTGCAGAGAGCACATTCCAAAAGGGAAAGTGATATTAACAGGGGATGGGAGGAAGAGAGGGAGCCTGAATACAATGTGTGCAAGCTGGGGACGTTGAGGCTGGAAAGCTGAGTTGAAATCAAATTGTGGAAGAGAGCATTTACAGACTGACTTGTGACACTCCCCCCCCCCCTTAAAAAAAAAAAGTATGTTGAAGCTCTAATGCCCAGTATGTCAGATGTGACTGTCCTTGAAGGCGGGGCCTTGAAGAGGTGATTAAGTTAAAAGGAGGCTGTTAGGGTGGGCCCTAATCCTGTCTGACTGGCACCATTTGAAGAAGAAGAAATTTGGAGGTAACTGGGAAATGCCAGGCGCGGGTATTCACAGAGGAAGGAAGACCGTGTGAGGACGTAGCCAGAAGGCAGCCACCTGTAAGCCAAGGAGAGGCCTCGGAAGACACTGAACCTGCAGTGCCCTGTGCCTCCGGGGAAGTGTGAGGAACTCGCTGTCTGTTGTCGGGCCTGCCTATGTCTGTGGTACTGTGTCGCGGCAGCCCTAGCAAACTCCTCCTGTAGACCTTCAAATCCCAGTGGGGAAAGTGTCCTTGATTTGGTGAGTGGCCTTTCACTGGGAATGGCCTTTCCAGAAGCTCATTCATTTTAGCCAGATCCCTGCACATCCCTGTGGCTGTGCAGTTGTGCTCTGATGCTCAGCCGCATGGCTTAGAGAGGGCAGGGATGTGTTGCTCAGTTGAAAGGATGAAGGGTGGGGTTTGAGATCCATCATGACAGCTGTGACCCTCTAGCGATCTGTGGGCAGGGAAAGGAAGACCAGGGTGCTTTGTCACCTTTTTACCTCCTTGGAAGCTTGTTTCTGTTTCACTTAGGTTGAGTGAACAAGTGATTTGTCTCATGTGATCTGATTCCATTCAGAGGCTTCCCAGTAGCCCTCCCCATCTATCAAACGACAGTGCTTTAATGCTTAGTCAAGCATCAACCCTATTTTTCTTAGAAATAAGAGAAGCCCCTTCCAGCTCACCCATTGGTAGGAGATTTAGTCTTGTGTGTGCACGACCTTCTCTCTCCGCTCTGCCACTGTCCATCTGACTGGCAACGGGATAGGTTCTCGGGGCTCCGCGTTCTCACCCAGGCCAGCTGTGATGTGATGGGTGCCCTGCGGCATCATGGCTGCAGAGCTCGACCAAGTGGGCTAATTTGGGGGCAGGCTGATGTTTCTAGACTGACATGTTCCAAAACCACATGCTCAGTTGGCTCACCTCGGTGCTTGTATTCGATGCTTCCCGCAGAAATGCCAAAAACAGAAGAGATGTTTTAAAACAGTTCGTAAAATTGGCAACTGTGCCGCCAGAGCACAGTTGTTTTGTCCTGAACGGTTTGCAGAGTTGAGGCTGATTCTGTGGCAGAGTCGGCGATGGTGAAAGGTCTCAGAGATGCTTCCCCCGAGGCGCCCGTGGAGGCCGAAGGAGCTCGGGGTGGCAGGTGCCGAGTGGGCGCTCCGCAGCCCTGGGAATCCCACCGGAATCCCCCGGTTAACTCAGTGTCTCATGCTACATCACTTCACCACTTCCTCAGTCCACCCGCTCTCAGATTTTACAGGGGAAACAGAAGGCTTCAGAAAGGAACTTGCTGCTGAAACCGGTTTGGCTCAGTGGATAGAGCATCGGCCTGCGGACTGAAGAGTCCCAGGTTCGATTCCGGTCAAGGGCATGTACCTTGGTTGCGGGCACATCCCCAGTGGTGGGTGTGCAGGAGGCAGCTGATCAATGTTTCTCTCTCATTGATGTTTCTAACTCTCTATCCCTCTCTTCCTCTCTGTAAAAAATCAATAAAAAAATATTTTTTTTAAAAAGAAAAAAGGAACTTTCTTATCCTCCCGCACAGAGATGTAAACTGCATTGGCCATTCGCTTTTCTGTTTCTCTCTCCCTGCAATGGAAGAGCTTTTCTTTCTAACTCACGCCCTTGCCCTCTGTTTTCAGAGCTACCTTCTCACGTCATTTCAGGTCCCTCAGGACATTGGTTATCTCTTGTTGCTCATAGTCTCGATCCCTCCCCTCTTTTGAAAGCACCCAGGGCCTTCCTATTAAAAATGAGCAAATAGCCGAAACCGGTTTGGCTCAGTGGATAGAGTGTCGGTCTGCGGACTGAAAGGTCCCAGGTTCGATTCCAGTCAAGGGCATGTACATTGGTTGCGGGCACATCCCCAGTGGGGGGTGTGCAAGAGGCAGTTGGCTGATGTTTCTCTGTCATCGACGTTTCTAGCTCTCTCTCTCTCTCTCCCTTCCTCTCTGTTAAAAAAAAAAAATCACTAAAATATATATTTTTTAAATGAACAAATACACAACGCCCTTATTTTGATTTTGGTTTTTTTAACGCTCTGTACTCCTAGTCTCCTGTCTTCTTCTTCCTCCATAGCTGAGCTTCTTGAAAAAGCCCTTCGTCAGTTAAGAAGTACAAATTGATAGTTACAAAATAGTCACGGAGTGTAGAGTACAGCCTAGGGACTATTGTCAATAATATTGCAATAACTGTATGGTGCCAGATGGAGACTGGAAATATCAAGAGGGAACACTTTATAAAGTATGTAATTGTCTAACTACTCTACTTTACATCTGAAATCAATACAAAATAATGTTGGGAGTAAGCTGTCATTGAAAAAAGATTTCTTCAAAAGGAAAATCTCTTCGTCCTTCCTGCCTCTTCACCACCCACCGTACTTTCAGACCCATCAACTGGCCATCAGATAGTCTAGTTGTCGTCTTATTTTACCTTTCAACAGTTCTTGATATTCTGCCTTCTGGAAACACCACCACCTCTGCTCTCAGCCTCTCGGAAATGTTGCCACTCAAACCGCATGCCAAGGCGAGTCCGTGTGAAAAGTCTGGGCTTTGAAGTCGGACAGGCCTCTCAGCCCTGGCTCTGCCGCTGCAGAGTGGAGAGGCCGGGGACAAGGTATTGAACCTCCCCACAGCTCAGGTTTCTCTCTGGGTAACAGGAGTCCTTCTGGCCTCGTTCTGAGAGGCGAATAGCTTCTGGATAGCACCTGGTGCCCAGGCGGCATGCTATAGATAGCCAGCCTCTTTCCGATGAGTTCATACGCGCACACATGTGTTTTGTTTCACTAAGGAGCGTGCCTATTTCACTCAGCTTGCAGCCAGACATGCAGTCATACATTAATATTTGCTGACTCGCCGGGACTGGTTTGGCTCAGTGGATAGAGCTTCGGCCTGTGGACTGAAAGGTCCTGGGTTTGATTCCGGGCAAGGGCATGTATAATACCTTGGTTGCGGGCACATCCCCAGTGGGGGCTGTGTAAGAGACAGCTGATCAATGATTCTCTCTCATCGATCCCTCTCTCTTCCTCTCTGTGAAAAATCAATAAAAAAATATATTTAAAAAAAAAGATATTTGCTGACTCGCTCACTATGACCAAAGTACAAGTGTGAGTAGAAAAGTTTTTAGTTCACTGAGTCTGGGAGAGAACTTAAGTTTGAAGCTTAGGGATAATGCTAGCAAATTCAGATCTGTCCTGAGAACATGGTGGATGATGTCAGATTTGGAATCCTGGAGAAAAGAGGGACAGCTTCCGGTACACAAAAATTTTTTATTTTAAACAGTTCCACACGTAAGACTCAAAATACACTTGTTCATTGAGAATTTGTGTCTCAATCTGTTCTTTTTTCCTTTTGTAGGTGTGGCTGGATCTCTTAAAACCCATTGTCAAGCAGATTAGAAGTAAGTATACACACTATGTGGAACAGTTTTGTTAAACACTGAGCCAGACCGTTCCCTCGTCTAGACATTGGCTGTCCTGTGGCGTCAGGCACTTAGTGATACAGATTTTTATTTTACCCCATAATTGCTTTTCATCATCCACTAACCCATGTGCTATTAAAATGTGTTCTGCAGTTTTAATATGTAACAGTTTGGTAGTCAAAAGTTTGCTTGGAAAATCAAATATGGTTTTGATTAACAACTAAACCATGCTACTAAGCCCCCAAATAATAGATTTGCCTTGTCTGAACCCAGGTTTCTTATTGTCACTTTTGCAAAGGGGGTTGGGGTGGGAAGTGGAGCCATTTATTCATAAATTGGTATAAGGTTTTCTGTAAGCTTGTGTGTGTGTGTTTGAATTTCTGAGTGGCAAACAGCACTGGAGGGAGCCTGGCTTGCGTTTAGACCCTAAGCTGGAGAAAAGACTAAAGAGGGTCTCAGAGGAGAGAACGGGAAGAGAACACTTGTTTTTTCTCTCCCTTCCCATCATGCCTCAGCACTGGACCTGCCTCCCCTCTCACTGCTCCAAGGTCAGGTTCAGAGCTAAGCTCTGTTCTCAAAGTCACTCCCAATAGTTCCTCACTGCAGCCAGAGACTGGGCAGAGTCTGGGGATGGTAACAAAACTCCCATTTCTTTAGCTGAGCCCGCAGCACACAATACCTTGTGGGATTGCCTTTCTGTCTCATTAAGAAATCCCACCGGGCCACTTATAGCCATTTATGTGGATGTGATAAATGGACACACAGTGCCTGGGTAGCCCTCATGCCATTGCAATGGATGTGGAGCTGTCATTTAAATTAAGGAATTATTGATGCTGAAAACGAAACCGCAGTTGTTTGTTTAATGTTTATGGGGGGTTGGCCTGTGATCCAACGGGGGAGACACATTACAGAGAGAAGCCCCCAGGCCTGGTGGGTGGAGGGAGCACAGGGTCTAGAAGGATGGCATTTGTCCCTGCAAAGACTAGGGGCGGAATTGCTAATGGTGGAAGGGAATCCCTCAGCACATTAGCAAATGCGAGGACAGGGGCCAGCACTGGGCACCTGCTCACCTCCGTGGCCTGTGGCTAGGTCTGTGTGAAGAGCAGTCCTTCTTACTGAGTGCCAGCATCTGCCTCACTTCGGGTGCTAAGATAAGGTGACAGACATCCCGCTTTTGGTGGGATAGTCCCGATTTTTAACAATTTGTCCCTCGGCATTTTAAAAAAGTCCCGATTCAAAAAATCGGGACTTTTTAAAAACGCTGCGGGACGCCAGACAAATTGTTAAAATCAGGGTGTCTGGTCACCTTATGCTAAGGGTCTGAGCACCCACCTTTAACCCCCTTGTCTGTGAAAGTAACTGAGAGGAAATGGCGTGGTTGTTTTGTGGCTCAGAAGTGGCATGCCAGGGTTTTTGTTCATTTGTGGTGATTAGGGAAAATCCCAGTGTCTCTTGGCTTCGGCATTTCTGTGCCTTGTTTGCTTCCTCCTCCTCATTTTTTGTATGTTGGTGACATCTTCGCCTTATGATGTGTTACTTTTGTATCTTCCCCAAATTTGAATGTGTTCGCATAGGAATTACGATACAACATCTGTCTCTGCGATAGCGAAAGGCAGAGCAAACATAGGAGTGCTGTTAAAATTGGGATTTCACTATCGTATCTTATTATCTCATGGAACGTAAACTCACTGCTGTCAGTCCAAACCGCAGAATCTATACGATTGCCCTTGTATTGTAGCTTATACATCCAACAGTCTCAGATTACAAATTTTTATTTTATTTTGTAACCTGTTCTGTTTTAATTCTAAAAACAGAATGTATTCATCTCCTTCACCATCTCTCCCTGACCCTCCCTTTCAATCTGCTTCCTGATTTTGTCTGAACTCACTGATATGGTTTATAAGGTGCTTAACAGGCTTGGGCTGACTGTGGCGGGGCAGGGCCTGGTCTGGTTGAGGTTTCTCTCCACACCTTAGGAGAGCATCTGGCATGTAGGTGCTATATACATATTTGATGAACACATTAACAGCTCTACAGTAGATGAAAACAATAAATTACATGACTAATTTACATTTTCATTATCTTTTAAAATGATCTAAAACTTGCATTTGGATGAGCTAATTAGGCACAATTTTTTAAAGAGAAAAATGCCTTTCAAACATGGGTACAACTGAAGTCTCCAGAGAAAAAGTCTAATACCTCCATGTGATACCTTTGTCACAGTTTAAAAACAACACAAGTCTCAGCTGGTGTGGCTCAGTGGTTGAGCATAAACCCAGGAACCAAGAGGTCACCGGTTCAATTCCTGGTCAAGGCACATGCCGAGTTCCCAGCTCGATCCCCAGTAGGGGTGTGCAGGAGGCAGCCAGTCCCTCTCCCTCCCCCTCTCCCTCTAAAAACCAATTTAAATAAAAACATTAAAAAAATAACAAAAACCGCACAAAACAGATATTTGTTTCCTTCACAGTGTGAAGTGTGATTTAGTTGTTCAGTGGCTGGGGTGTACTGTTGGCTACTTGCAATGAGTCTCGTTATTTGGTATATAATATACCTCAGAAAATCTTTTCCTTAAATGCATTTGAAACAGAAAATCAATAACTGCTTTTCTTTTCTTTTCTCCTTCTTTAGGGCCAAAGCATGTTGTTGTTAGGTTTGTGGTGAAATTCTTTCCACCTGACCACACTCAACTCCAAGAAGAACTCACAAGGTGAGTGATTTGGCTGTTTGTTACAATGGGGTGCCGAGGAGACGCGGAAGTTCATGTTCTACGTCCATTTGATGAACATTTCTCAAGGTCTACTTAACCAGCATCCACTCTGTGCTTCACAGTTTGATCCCCCTCGTCGTGTCCCCCCCCCCTTTTTGTCTCAGATCCTCTGTGTCAGTGTGACTGTAAGGCTGGCCTGGCTGTGGTTGTTTTGAGGAGGAGCATTAATACACATCAAATGGTTGGTAACCATTATCATCACCATCATTGACATCATCATCAGTACTGCCACTGACTTTATAATTTGTGGTAGCCAAAACCGGTTTGGCTCAATGGATAGAGTGTCGGCCTGCGGACTGAAGGGTCCTGGGTTTGATTCTGGTCAAGGGCATGTACCTTGGTTGTAGGCACATCCCCAGTAGGGGGTGTGCAAGAGGCAGCTAATTGATGTTTCTCTTTCATCGATGTTTCTAACTCTATCCCTCTCTCTTCCTCTCTGTAAAAAATATATTTAAATACATATATAAAATCTGTGGCAAACGCGTGGGTTTCTAAAGGAGGTGAGAACTCAGTGGGAATACGTAAAGATAAAATGCCTCCCTTTCCAGAATACTTCCTTGGAGTACACTAGTCTGGCCGGCCAAATTCTTGCCACACTGCCTTTTCAGACGTAACTGCTTCAGACCAAGCAGTAACTGCTTCAGACGTAACTGCTTCAGATCTTTCTCATCCTCTCATACCTAATACAGAGCACAATGTCTTGGGTGGCTGACCATCATTTATGAAAGGGATGAAGATACTCAGTCAAAAGGATTTATGAAGTGTGTGCACCATGTGCAAGCATTGTTCTAGGCACTGGGGATGTAGTGATAGAAAAACAAGTCTGCCTCTCATGGGAACAAACAAAACTATTAAATAAAAAACAAAATCGGATAACAGTAGGGCTCTTAATTTAGGTCACTGAATTAGGATGATGGCATAGAAGTTTGACTGGGTGCCGACTTTAGATTGGTTAGTCTGGGGTGCCTCTCTGAGGAAATAACGAGGATTTCTGTCAGTCATTTCTGAAGGGAGACCTTTCCAAGGTGGCAGTGCCCAAGGCAGGAACAAGTGACAGGTGTCCATCAGAAACGTGCTCCGCATGGCAGGAACAGTGAGAGCGAAGTGCAGTGAGGTGGGACAGAGGCCCGAATGTACTTCCTGTTGAAAGACTAGTTGCCACTAGTGGATGTTATGGGGAAGATGACAGCAGGGAATCCCGTGAGGAAGCGATTGCCACCATCCAGGCCGAGACGACGGTAGCAGAGGAGGCGGTAGGAGTGGAAATGGAGATGTGTGGCTGCATGTGCAGTCCTTGCTGGAGGTGGAGTCCATCCATCTGGGTGGTGTGTTGGGGATAGAGACTGAGGAAAGTCTTAGATTTGACTGAAGCAACTGGCTGAGTGTTGGGGATGAGTAAGTGGAATGGGTGGAGGGAAACAGAGGCTTGGGAGCTAAGAGAGTTACAGTAGGAGCTTGCTTGTGTTTGAGACACCTACTCGACACCACATGGATGCAGCAGGAGGGGCATTGGGTACCTGGATTCCAGCGAGAGGTGAAGGCGATGTGTTTCTGAATGAGTCACCCCTGCTTGTTTGACTCCACTTACAATCCTCCTATCGGTGAAGCAGTTAGAGGCGGCTGGGAACTGCAGAAGCTAGGACGCTGAAGTAGAGGGACAGCTGGAGCTACTCCACCCCACTGCACAAGACAGAGAGGCCGATGACAAGTCTTCATGTGGTGTCCTTATTGGGGCTACTGTGTCTCCGTTTCCGGGGCCAGCCTTCCTGTCGTGGGAGCATGCCTTGCTCCAAGCTCACAATATTGAAATAAGTCTACGGGCAAGGCCAGCTGTTGGTCAGCAGTGCACGTTTTCCTCTGGAGTCCCACTGGGGCTCTGTCCTGCTTCGGAACCTGGCAGCATGAATCCTTCCCCCCTTACCCCCCCTCCCCCCGACACACATACACACACACACGTTTCCTCCCTCTTTTACTTTGCAATGAGTTTTGCACCTTTTCAATTTTTATGACTCACTGCCTTTAGAGGTTTGGCATTTTCTTCCATTCTGGCCCTTGTTATAAAATCTCATGCAACTGGTTACCCTCAGGCCACGTGCGCCCGGTGTCTTGCCAGCTGCTGTGGCCGGTCTGGCAGCTCCCCCACGTGACACAGCTTAGCTGGATGCAGTGGGTTTGGGTGTTTGTTGCCTGGCTCCCGCTGTTAACTGACATTTTTAAAAAAATCTTCCCTGAAGAGAGAATTCTTTGGGTCCACGGGTGAATACAATTGCTATGAAACTTAGAAGCTCCTCATCCCTTTCCACTTTGCCACGAGGTATAACCAGAAGTGCACCTCCCAGATCCAATATGCTGACTCCCACACTCCCGAAAAATGGAAGGATGTAGCCATTGAGATTCCAGGGACTCTTCTATAGCAGATGGCAGTAAGGAGGTCTGCATGGTCTGTGATAATTTAGACATGGGATGTGTGGAAAAGAGAGACGGAAACGAGCCTACAGACTGTATAGTTCGGCCAAGGGAATCTAGCCCCATGCTCCCCATTTACATAGATGGAAGATGACATTGCACTTTGCGGTTCAACAGGAAGCTGAGTACCTGTCTATTTCTTGGACTGCACTTGAGGTGAAACTCTGACCTATGGACAAAAGGGGAAAAATCACCGACTCTCAGGTGCAGTTTTAATAGCAAGGGCAAGCTTTTTGGAAAACAACTCACTAGGCTTTCTCATCGCAGAGCTCTGAGGAGTCACTTTTCTGATGCTAATGCCTGTAGGCACACTTCTCACTGGGTATCCCATCGTCAATCAAACCTAATTCCCACTCGACTGCGTTTGAGTAGGTGAGAGACCCCATCGGAACTCGCTGCTGTGCAAGGTCTGCTGAAGGGTGTTTCCTAGGCTGGCAGAGAAATTGGACATGACGCCGAGGAGGAAAAAGAATCAGGCTTCCCAAATGAAATAAATGGAAATGGACATGCATAGAACCAGGCATCCTGCCCTCGCTGGTTTGGCTCAATGGATAGAGTCCGGCCTGCAAACTGGAGGGTCCCGGATTTGATTCCAGTCAAGGGCACATACCCCTGTTGTGGGCTCGATTCCTAGTGGGCGATAGGTGATTCTCTCTCCTCATTGATGTTTCTGTCTCTCTTTCCCTCTCTCTTCCTCTCTGAAATCAATAAAAATATATTTAAGAAAATAAATAATAAAAATTAAGCCAGGCATCGATGGGTGTGATTTGCAGTTCCAGGGAGCAAAGCCCTTCTTTTTTTATTTTTTTTATTTATTTTATTTTTTAAATTTTTTATTAAATTATTATATGTGTACATATCTTACCATTGTAAAGCCCTTCTTGACTATTCCTGCCACTGTCATCTCCTTCCTCCTCCCATCCTAAGCTAGTCCATTTCCTCTTGAGTGCTTTTTAAAAATATATATTTTTTATTGATTTCAGAGAGGAAGGGAGAGGGAAAGAGAAAGAGAATCATGGATCAGCTTCCTGCTGCGTGCCCCACACTGGGGATCACGCTTGCAACTTGGGCATGTGCCCTGATCTGAAATCAAACTGTGACCTCCTGGTTCATAGGTCAAAGCTCAACTGCTGAGCCACACTGGCTGGGCCCTTTTGAGGGCTTTGAGCATTTTCCTTGTGTTTGCCAGTTTAATTTATTTAGTGTCTGCTGAGAACACCTTCGCCTTTAGCTCATGAATTTGGTTGGAATGGCTCTAGATTGTAGGACGAAAGGTTGTTGCTGAGTCTCTAAAGTCAGCATTGCAGCCAGCGGGCTCGGCTTACAGCTGTCATCCGGAAATCAGCGCCCAGGAAAGTCTTTCTCGTGTTACCAGGGCCTTGGACAGAAAGAGTCGGCGTACTTAGGGTGACAAGGTCTTCCTGCATAACCACGTGTGGGATCTTTCAGACCCGTTGCTACCTCGAGCCCACACGAGACTATCCCCAATGGCCCTCATTTTACACCTTTCCCTACCCCAGCCTGGAATCTATATTTCTCTGTGTCCTTCCGAGGGGTAATTGGGTGGGAGCCAGAACTTGGTTTGGTTAGTAAGAGTTACTTCTAAGATGACACTGTTTCTAGGCAGTGGGCAAAACTACTAAATGTCTTTTCTGAAAAGTTATGAGTTCCTACTGATATTTTCCAACCAATTTTAACTTTCACTGTTTCCCCGTAATGTCATTGTTTTATAAATGCCTCTTTTGCCAAAAGTGTTTACTTGCTTTATCCTGCAACATAAAGAAGAGAATTTCCAAGTAAATTGATTTATTTATGCATCTGAGAGCTGAACTTTGTGGAAGTGGCTAAGTGAATATTAAACCGCAAAAAAGACACCCTTGTCTTTCCATTCCCGTCGCAAAAGCTTTTAACTAACCCTAATGGACTACTGTTACTGTCTGAGCCATAAAGCCATTTTTGTTCTGTGAAAAAAAAGTTAATTGTGCCACAGCAATCCTGAGAAAGAAGAGTAAAATAGGAGGGATCTCAATACCAGACTTCAAACTGTATTACAAAGCCACTGTTCTCAAAACAGCCTGGTACTGGCACAAGAACATACATATAGATCAATGGAATCGAATCAAGAACCCAGATATCAACCCAAATTACTATGCTCAATTAATATTTGACAAAGGAGGCATGAATATACAATGGAGTCTCTTCAATAAATGGTGTTGGGAAAATTGGACAGATACATGCAAAAGAATGAAACTAGATCACTAATTTACACCATACACAAAAATAAACTCAAAATGGATACAGGCTTAAACATCAGATGGGAAACCATAAAAATACTAAAAGCATCCACAGTCAGCAAAATCTCAGACATATGCCAAAAGAACTTCTTCACTGATACTGCCCCTAGGGCAATGGAAGCTAAAGAGAAAATAAATAAATGGGACTACATCAAAATAAAAAGCTTTTTTACAGCAAAAGAAACCATCAACAAAACAATAAGAAAGCTTACTGTGTGGGAGAACATATTTGCAAATAATACCACGGATAAAGATTTAATCTCCAACATCTACAGACAGCTTATACAACTAAATAAAAGGAAGATGAATGATCCAATTAAAAAATGGAATGGACCTAAATAGAATATTTTCAAAAGAAGACAGAAGAATGGCCAAAAGGCACATGAAAACATGCTCAAAGTCACTAATTATCCAAGAGATGCAAATCAAAACAACAATGCAGTACCATCTCACACCTTTCAGAATGGCCAACATCAACAAATCAACAAACGACAAGTGTTGGTGAGGTTGCGGAGAAAAAGAAACCCTTGTGCACTGCTGGTGGGAATGCAGACTGGTGCAACCACTGTGGAGAACAGTTTTTTCCTCAAAAAACTGAAAATGGAACTCCCATTTGACCCAGTAATCCCACTCCTAGGAATATATCCCAAGAAACTATAATAGAAACACCAATCAGAAAGGATATATGCACCCCTATGTTCATAGCAGCACAATCTACAATAGCTAGATTTTGGAAACAGCCTAGGTGCCTGTCAGCAGATGATTGGATCAAAAAACTTTGGTATATCTACACAATGGAATACTATGCTGTCATAAAAAAGAAGGAATTCTCATCATTTGCAGCAACCTGGATGGAATTGGAGAACATCATGCTGAGTGAAATAAGCCAGTCAATGAAAGAGAAATACCACATGACCTCACTTATTTATGGATAATAAAGAACATTATAAACTGATGAACCAAAAGATAGATATAGAGACAGTAAAGCAACAAGCAGACTGTCAAATTACAGCAGATAGGGTAGGGAGATCTGGGGGAGATAATAGATCAACCGAAGGACTTGTATACATACATATAAGTACAACCAATGGACACAAACCTCTGGGGAGGGAGGGTATATATATGGGGAGGGGGGGCAATGTTAAAATATGTACACAGATAATAATTTAATTTAAAAAATGTAAAAAAAAAAAACAAAAAAAGTTGATTGTTTGTCTTACCCTGCAAAAATATATAGGGTGGTAAGTAATTGTGGACTTATATGTAACCGCTGCTTCTCTCCATATAAAATGAAACGTATTACTCACTGCATGACAGGATTATGGCACGTGTCTCCCAGGTCTTCAGGGGGCAGTCAGAGGCCTTAGAATTAATTTCAGCCTTGCGGACTTTCTTTTCCTTGTTTTTTTTTTTTTTTGTTCTTTTTTTGTATCTTTTTTTTTTTTAGTTGCTCACAGTATGGACAGGTTGCCAGGGGAGAGCATGATTTAGATGCAGATCTTCCCCTCCATAGCTCATCCGTGTTTCTAACACCCGTGTCTCTGTTTGCAGGTACCTGTTTGCCCTGCAAGTGAAGCAGGACCTGGCTCAGGGCAGGCTGACGTGTAACGACACCAGCGCTGCCCTCTTGATCTCACACATTGTCCAGTGTAAGTGCTGTCCGTTTCCTTTAGAAATCACGTTGGAAATGACACAGTGATCTGACTGGAAAGAAAATCAGATCCACTAACAATAATAATAATGTCTTCATGTTCTTTTGCTGTTAGCCTGAGTGCATATGAGTGGAAAACAATACCTCTAATTTCATTGAATATGCGTGTTCCCCAAACATTGACCCAGGAATTCTGTGTTCTGTTGTTTACCTACCCTTTCAAGACCCAGTGCAATTGTTGACATCTCAGCTGTCTCAAAGGAGAAGCTTAGAGGACGAGGGGCCAAGTAGACTAAACCTGTTCTGTCCTTTATCATCAAGTGTGGCACATTAGCTGAACAACATAAAACTGTCAAAGATTTCACTTGTATTCTGCTCTTTAGAGTTCAGAACACATGAGGCTGGACTGGATCTAGTGATACTTTTTAAAAAATCCACACTAGAGCCCTAGCCATTTTGGATCAGTGCATAGAGCATCAGCCTGTGGACTTAAAGGTCCCATGTTCCATTCCGGTCAAGAGCACATGCCCAAGTTGTGGGCTCGATCCCCAATAGAGGGTGTGCAGAAGGCAGCCGATCAATGATTCTCTCTCATCATTGATTTTTCTATCTCTCCCTCTCCCTTCCTCTCTGAAATCAATAAAAATATGTTTTAAAAAAGAAAAATAAAAAGAAAATCACACTAGAGGTCATTATTTTTTCATTGATTCTTCGAGTGGAAGGGAGGTTGGGAGAGGAGCGAAAGAAAAAGAAAGAGAGAGAGAGGGAGAGAGGAAGAAGCATTGGCTGGGGCTGGGGATGAAACCAAAATCAAAGTATATGCCTTTTGGAATTGAACCCAAAACCCTTTGGTCCACAGATCAACATTCTAATCACTGAGCCAAACTGCCCAGGGCTTGAAATGCAATATTTTAACTTTCTTAACCTAGACAAAGGACAAATTAGATTGTGCTCATCCTGAGGCTTATTGACAGCCCACCTGAGCATTTTTTCCCTCTTAGCCAAGGCAGAAGTTACTTGAATGGAATATATACTTGGTGTTTTGGGAAGGTAACTATGTATATAGATCAAGGCCAACATACATAAACACGAATATTAAAAAATACTGTGCTAGCATTCTAAAATTTCCATTGTATACAAAGTAGTCCCATTTAATCAGCCCCACCCCATTCGTTAGGTGCCCAGTTAATAAGACTTCTAAAGGTTTGTAGGAAATATCATTTGTAGTAGTCCACAAATTACCTTAGTGTAATATGATGAGGTGTTACTATAGACCACGCTTAACTTCCTTTTTTTTTTTGGTATATGGGCATTATTGAATATCTACCAGACTTAGCAGAGAGATGCTTTCTTAGCAATTTGAAAAACTGGTGTAAGAAAGAAGAACAACAGAATTAGGTATCCTTTATTAAACCTCCCTATGTTCCAGCACTGTGTACAAGTATCTCAATTCATTCTCACAACAACTCTGTGAGGTCAGTGCTATTACTATCTCCATTTTTACAAATGAGGAAGCTTTGGCTCAGAAAGTACCATAGCTCTTGCCTTTTGTGTCTGGTCTTCCCTCTTTCTATGGTAGTGGAGAGAGGAGGGTTTGAATCAGGCAGACCTGATTTCTGTTAGTTGATTAATGACCCCGCCCCCAACCTCTTAGTTCCGCCTCTTCTTTCTTGCTTTCTTTCTTTCGTTCTTTCTTTCTTTCTTTCTTTTTTATTTTTTTTATTTTATTTTTTTTTTAGTGTATTTTATTGATTTCAGAGAGGAAGGGAGAGGGAGAGAGAGATAGAAACATCAATGATGAGAGAGAATCATTGATTGGCTGCCTCCTGCACGCCCCCGATGGAGCCTGCAACCTGGGCATGTGCCCTTGACTGAAATCGAACCTGAGACCCTTCAGTCCTAGGCTGACACTCTATCTACTGAGCCACACTAGCTAGGGCTCCACCTCTTATTTCTTTTGGAACATGAAAATAATAAAACCTTTGCATAAGGCTGTGAAAATTAAATGCTAGCATAAATAAATCCCAATACTTGTTAGGTGCTCGGTAAACATACTCTCTTTCTTTACCTCACTCCTGTAGCCTCCCTTTCCAAACAATGGAACATTTTTAAATGAAGCTTCCTTATTGGAATAGTAATTATAAAATGTTTATGGCCCTGGGCTTTTATTATTCCTGATGCCATTTAGTCTTGTGCCTGTTTGTTCCTCTTATGTTTCTCCTTCGTAAAGTCAGTCAGCACAGTGACCCTCACTCGCACAGATGGGAAGTGGAGGTTCACCAGCACTCAGGAAGCCAACGAGAGGCTCAAAACTCCCCGAGAATCTTGGTTTCTTCAGACAAAATGAGATAGATTAAAAAGCATGCCTGCTATTTGCATACTGTTTGTTCACTAATGAGGCACACTATATGTTTATGATCTTATCTTTTTAAAGTCCCATTTCTGCATTTTTAACCATCCCATGCACTCAGTCTTAAAAGGGGTAATTTCACAATGCTCTGTGACTAGTATGTCGATTAAAGTTATTGATGATAGCTCGACTGAGGTGGCTCAGTGGTTGAGCATCGACCTATGAACCAGGAGGTCACAGTTCAATTCCTGCTCAGGGCACATCGAGGTTGCAGGTTGGATCCCCAATGTGGGGTGTGCAGGAGGCAGCTGATCAATGATTCTCATTCATCATTGCTCTCTCTCTCTCTCCATCTCTCCCTCCCTTCATCCCTCTCTCTGAAGTCAATAAAAATATATATTTTTTAAAAATTATTTTTGATTATTTACATTATCTGTAAGGTACAAGGGGTTAACTCATCTCTTTTTCAAAAGCTACATTAATGCTGATGTAACAGTTGAGTGAGCTGTATGTTCATCTCGGGTGTATCTATATACACAATCTGAATTTTGTTAAAAATTTTCCTCTTTTATTTGAACTCATGGAGTTTTCTTTCAGACAGTCTATACTTTTTCATTTGTCACTGGCCTTATATAGCCCCTTAATATTTCTCACTTTTAATTTTCTTTCATTTATTATGAATCAATTAAGTAAGACAAGCTGATGAAGAACCAATCACTAGATAGCCCAATGCTCCTATTCCACTTGGGTAGCTTGGAGGGCTGCCTTCCAGGTTGGGTGTCTCCACGCTGAAGACTTTACGTGGCTGAGGGTTGTTTAGGCACATCCTTGTGAGAGTCCATGTAGTAAATCACAGGTTTGGGGTTGTTCTCGCTGTCCCTGCTTTTTGCCATGACTAGACAGCTGTGGAATTTAGAATATGTGTAAGCAAATATGATATCCTGGCATAAAAATACTAAATCACTTCTTGAATATTTGTCAGCTTTTAAACACTCCACATAGAAGGAGGAGCTTATTTCTATATTTCAGAGAAGGACACACTGAATTTCTTAGTCCTATGTTGCCATTGCATTTTAGACAGGCAGTGAATGGCAAAGGGATTTTAAAAAAACAAAAACAAAAGACAATTAGGCGCATTGACCCTGTTGCCAAAGGAAAAACTGAAATTCTCAGTTCTTTTATTACATTGAATTAGGGAAAGGAGTGTGCTATAAAATCCATATGCATTGAGAAGCCCAAACTGAGTTTATTATTTTTGAGCTCTATCCTATTACAGCAATCCAGATTACAGCAATCTGAGGACTCTGTTGAGGTTACATGAGAGAAAGACACATCCTGTTTCTTGTAGATAAACTGAAAGCAAACAAGAAATTGGGATTCAGGTGAGTCCCCCATGTGCAGTCAGCCTGCATTATTCTACACGCAGTCTGTATGTGCAAACTCAGCTACTCTATAAAAGTTGTTTGTAACCCCCAAGTCAATACTTGTGGTGCTTTCGTGGTCCCTGCAGACATACACAAGATGCTGGAAAATGGGAGTCGTCCCCCACACACATTCCAGGCTGAGGTCGGAAAAGGCGGCACTCCGCCTCCCTGTCTCAGCTCTCATGCCATAAATAGGGTGCCTCCAGCGGTCTGTTTGATGCCACACTTTCTCATTTTTGTGCTTTTTGTTGGTGGTTCCCCAGTTATGATGGTCCCCAAGTGCCATGTTGAATTGCTGCCTAGTGCTCCGAAGTGCAGGAAGGCTGAGATGTGCCTTCTGGAGAACATACGTGTGTCCGCTGAGCTTTGCTCAGGCATGAGTGACGGTGCTGTTGGCTGCCAAGGTTCATGCTAATGAATTGAAAATGTCTATAAAATAGGATGACTTTCAACAGAAACACACCAAACAAAATCAGTTTGCCAAAATGTCATTTTTCCCCCCAAGAGTTCATAAGACGCTAACCCTGTATCTCTTCTGGGAGCGATAGTTAGTGTTTGCCAATTCACTGTTCATGGGGTCTTCATAGCACATCACTGCTGTGAGAAGGAGAATGAACTGTACTTTCTTGAGGCAAGGTAGAAGGAATTGCAGAAAAGTTAGAGCCACCATCATCAAGGCAGCCGGCGAGGATGGCAGTGTGGCCAGAGAGGTCCCCACGCTGTGTTCTGTGAGGAAGGGTGGCAACTTTACCCAGGGAGGGAGGTGTAGTCTAGGAAATGGTGTTATTGATCTGTCATCGCAGCAGGAAGTGAGTGATTGATTCTCCCAGGGGATGCCTGGTGAGCTGGCACTGTTTTATGCAGAGCAAATGTTCCCAGAGGGTGAGGTTTATAGCAACATCCTGCAGGAGTCCTGGAGGGGCCCTGGCTAAAGTATGACAAGCTGCTTCGCATGACGGAATGGACGATAGGTTTCATAGCAACCGTTCCCTTGCTCTTACTCGGAACAGGTGGCACTGGTCATTACGCTGCTGCTTCTTAAGCTTGTGTCCGAGTACATGACACAAAGAAAAAGGCAGGCTATCCCAGACTGTTAAACAGTACAGGTGGAGTGGGGCTGTTATTAAGGTACAATTATTATTTTTGAGCTCTATCCTATTAGCAATCCAGATTACAGCAATCTGAGGACTCTGTTGAGGTTGCATGAGAGAAAGACACATCCTGTTTCTTGTAGATAAAAAAATTATAAGCTTTATAGTCTAATAAATCATTTCTTTTTTGTTTTTTAAATATATTTTTATTTATTTCAGACAGGAAGGTCTGAAATAAATAAAATATATATATATTTTTTAATTTCAGAAAAAAATAAGAGAGAGAGAAAGAAACATCAATGATGAGAGAGAATCATTGATTGGGGGCCTCCTGCACACCCCACACTGGGTAGTGAGCCCACAATCTGTCCGTGTGCCCTGACCAGTAATCAAACCATCACCTCATAGGTTAACACTCAACCACTGAGCCATGCCAGCCGGGCTGACCAATCATTTCTGATAAGAAGACTACAAGAAATTGAGCAAGCATTTTTTTTTTTTAAAAACCCAAATTAGATTCCTTACCTTTATAGCTATTTACAATAGTCTTTTCTCTGCACGATAAAATGTTTGGGGTTTTTACTAATCATGGTTATATTTAAGACTTTCAAAAGTTGATTTTGTAAAGTTCTGAAATTTGGGAGCTTCTTTAGAAGTCATGGGCCGTAAACTCCATGGCTCGACTTATTGCCTAGAAGAGAAGGATCCTCTAGTTGTGTTGGGAGGAAAGAAACAAACCCCAGGAAACATGGATGGCTAAGAATGGGCAATTCTGAAGTTTCCTTTCCAGCTATTAGAGATGAGAAAGAGTAGAAACCATCTTTCTATGTTGGAGCAGTTGCTAAATGTGTCCTCACGTCCACATTTCTGACATCTAGCGCTTATGGTACCCACCAGCTTGGATCGCCTGCTGCTGTTGGCTAGCTTCTGATGTGCTAGCTGGAGAATATTCCACTGGGAATAGATCAAATTGTGGAGTATTAATCATATGGGCTGGGTTTTCTTTCTCTGTCTCTTTGTAGCCGAGATTGGGGATTTTGATGAAGCATCGGACAGAGAACACTTAGCAAAAAATAAGTACATACCTCAGCAAGACGCACTAGAAGACAAAATTGTGGAATTTCACCATAGCCACGTGTAAGTCTATTCGTTGTTTTATGTTTCCGTGTACCTGTTTCTCTCCCTCCTTACCACATACATAGGAGGAAATATGCAAAGGGTGAGGGAGAAGAACCCAGAGGCTCATGGGATTGTTATGACTCACCCAGGAGTCTCTGAAACGCAGGTTTACCCACTCAAAAGCAGTGCTCAGGGCCTCCTGGCCTTTTTTTTTTTTTTTTTTTACTGTGAAACCAGATTAACGCTAGAATTTTAGGACAATCCATGCTTTGGAATAAAAGGGAGAGTATACAGCCAATTAAAAGGAGATTGGGAAATTGACATGGTATTCTAGGGACAAAGTGAGAATATTGTGAAAATCTAGAACCTTTGTACCATCTCCAGATTGGTTTTTTGTTTGGATCAGTGAAACATTTTCAAAGGAGTCTCTGTGCCTTTTGTTTGTGTTGTTGTTGTTTTAAGGAGGGCGCTTGGGTACTGATGATAATGTGAGAGAATGGTGCCTTGAGCTTTGTTTGCAAGTTAAGGTCTATTGTGAGTGACTAAAAACGTGTTTTAACACGATGGTGTTTTGCTTTTATGTGACCTTAAAGGGAACTCTTTGAGATTCAAAAAAAATTGGTCCAAGCTTGAGATAGATTTTTGGAGTTTTGTGTTACACCAGCAATAGCGCTTTTGTTCTAGCTGCTGGACTTTGGGTTATAATGAATGGGAGGTTGGGTGTCATCTGATCGGGTAGCCCCATTGTTTGTGATGAAATGCCTTTTTATTTCCCGAGAGAAGCTCCTTAATCTCAAATTAATAGACACAGGGAATTCAAATCTCCTGGCCTTTCTCTGTCAATTTTGTTCTGTCAGTGGACAAACACCCGCAGAATCGGATTTCCAGCTCTTGGAGATTGCCCGGAAGCTGGAGATGTACGGGATCCGGTTGCACCCGGCGAAGGACAGGGAAGGTACCAAGATCAACCTGGCGGTTGCGAACACAGGAATTCTCGTGTTTCAGGTAAGAGCGTTTAGAACACACTCAGTTCCCTTGTGATGAGAGATAAGGGTTGGGCCTTCCTCTTTGGTTCCATGCTGGGTGGTCCATGCTAAGACCTCTGGTAGTTATTTTTAGGAGAACAGGGAAAACTAACCTCATCTCAGGGCTCCTGCTTCTTTCCAGCCACTCAGCTTCCAGGTCCATTTCACTGGTGGGGGAATTTACTGTTACAGATTTGTTTGCATTTGCTCACTTTGTTGGATCACAGAAATCAGTATCTCTCGGTGGACCTGTGCTTGGAACATGTATAATGGGACCAAGACTTTAGACTCCACAATAACCTTTTGCACAATTATATGTGATAGTCATGTTCCTTTTTTTAATTTTTTTTATTTTTATTGATTTTTTACAGAGAGGGAGGGAGAGAGATAGAGAGCTAGAAACGTCGATGAAAGAGAAACATCGACCAGCTGCCCCCCGCACACCCCCCACCGGGGATGTGCCCGCAACCAATGTACATGCTCTTGACCGGAATCGAACCTGGGACCTGTCAGTCCGCAGACCGACGCTCTACCACTGAGCCAAACTGGCTTCGGCCATGTGATCCTTTTTTTAAAAAAAAAACTTAATTTGGGTTTTGCATAAGCTTTTTTCTGATTTCACTTTTACCTAACTTGAAAAATGTAGTATCTACTTGTAAGCTAGAGCAGTTTCATAAGTTTATGAAAGCCATAATCTGACTGCAGTAATTTTGCAACAAAACGCATACCTCCCTTGGGTGGATCCTACTTGTGTTTTCCTAAGGACATACGATTCTCTGCCCTCTGAGGTGTGCGCTCTCCTGATCACACTGCTAATGTACTGTTTTATTGATTGATGCTTCTCTTTCTCTTAAAAGCTTTATTGATATAATTCTTTTTTAAAATATATATATATATATTTATATATATATAATATATATATATATATATATATATTATTGGTATTTTACAGAGAGAAGGGATAGGAATAAAGAGTTAGAATCATCAGTGAAAGAGAAACATTGATCAGCTGCCTCCTGCACACCCCCTACTGGGGATGTGCCCATAACCAAAGTACATGCCCTTGACCACAATCGAACCTGGGACCCGTCAGTCTGTAGGCTGACGCTCTATCCACTGAGCCAAACCCAGTTTGGGCTACTGACATAATTCTTGACATGCAATAAAATGCACATCTCTAAAGAGTGCCCTTTGATTTGTTCTTCTATATGTATATCCTGTGAGCCCACCAATGAAATAAAGACAACGAACATATTCACCAAACTCCCCGCCCCCATTTTCTCAAGGCTTTTCTTTTAAACACACGTAGGTAATCTGTGCTTTGACTTCACATGGGGGTTGAGAAAGTGTCTGCCTTTCTCATGAAATAGAGTCAGATGTCACTCAGTGTTGAAGGTGTAAATGGGTACTTGACTTACAACTTTTTTGAGCTCTGCCAGGTTTGGTTACATTTCCCCCCTTCCCATTTTACCCAAATAGCCTACGATTCTCTGCTCCTCTATCAGATGTTTCTGATGGATCCTAAGGACCACACCCCTGTGTCCTGAGAAAGAAGGTCAGGTGGGATTCACATGGGGTCACAGGGAGTGACGTGTTGAGAGCAGTGTGGTGTGTGAGTAGGTGATTCCTCCTCACAGTTTGGACCTGCAAAAATAACCTAGGCATACCTGATGAGGAAAACAACAACACACTAAGTATAGTTTTCAGTACTGCCATTCATTTCAAAATGAAAACCCGTAAACATTTCTAAAAGTTAGAGGGGGGAGGAAAGAAGTGCCTCACAGTTGTATTAATTAGCATTGATTGTGTTTGATGCAATCTAAATATTGAGACTTCCTTGGAAATTTAATCATGTTCGAAGACTGTGTGTTGGCATTAATCTGCTAGTCGGTACCTAATTGCTCCATTCTTAACCAGCTTAAATAAATGGCCCTGGTGTTCAGGTGGAGGAATTCCATTTTTTTAAAAATATATTTTATTGATTTTTTTACAGAGAGGAAGGGAGAGGGATAGAAAGTTAGAAACATCAATGAGAGAGTAATAACGATCAGCTGCCTCCTGCACACTCCCTACTGGGGATGTGCCCGCAACCCAGGTACATGCCCTTGACCGGAATCGAACCCAGGACCCTTGAGTCCACAGGCAGACCCTCTATCCATTGAGCCAAACCGGTTTCGGCAGGAATTCAATTTTTAATTGAGATGATAGGAGAGATGGAACTGGGGTCTGGCCACTGCCCCCTGTTTCTCCACCGCGTCCCACTTTGCTGTATCAAAGATGAGGGTGTGTGAGTCCTTCCCCGAGACCACTCTGGAAGGCGGGGCCTCCCCTCCCAGGCCCTGATTGTGCTGTTGGAAGCCTGTGGTCACAGGAGCCAGGCCAGGTGGACAAAGCGGTGATTGTTGACCTGCAGTGTTGCATCTGTGGATGTGAACAACTGCTGACTCAGACCCATGCTTGGGGATCTCATTCTGCCACATTCACAGTGTGATTTGGGCCAAATTAAAATAATATCCATGCTGCAGATTCCACATCTATAAAAAGAAAAAAGAAAGCCACCTCATTGGGTTTTGTGTAAGGTTTGATATGATCTGTCAAGTCCTCAGGCCAGTGCCTGGCACTCTGTAAGTAATGATTGCTAATTATGGTGGTGGTTGTCATGGTTTTTATTTTTATTTATCTTTTTTTTTTTTTTTTTATCATTCCCATGGCCGGCCTCTTTCCTCCCTGGAGGCAGACTGAGTTGGAATGCCAGCTCATGTAATTAGTGAGAAATCACGATCCAGGACCCGGCATCACCCACAGCTGCACTTCTGTGACTTCCCCAGCGAAATGCTTTCTTCCCGAGCCACCCAGCATCAGCCCCCCTGGAAACCCCCCATAACCAAGGCACCAACTCTCGTGATGCCTATTGTGCATTTCCTGACTCTCTGGCTGATACTTTTCTTCTCAGGGCTTCACAAAGATTAATGCCTTCAACTGGGCGAAGGTGCGGAAGCTGAGCTTCAAGAGGAAGCGCTTTCTCATCAAGCTCCGCCCTGATGCGAATGTAAGTGGCTCCCAGGAAAGAGGGGGAGACCCTCGGACCCTTGGGATGGAGGGGACCAAGGGAGGGCATAGGCTGAAACTGGCCGACAGCCACTCCGGAGACGGAGTGTCTGTGCAGACAGATGCATTCAAATACTCGGTCATGCCACAGCTGTCACAGTCAGGAGACAGAAGGTAAAGGAGAGCTGGCACAGATGTGGAGAAGGTCCTTACCTGTGCAGACACCTGCAGCCCCTCCTGACAACCCGAGGTCTGCCATGGCTGTGCCTCCAGCCTCCGCCCCACCCCCACCCCCAGACATTCTCCACCTTCTGCCCTGTCCCCGGCACATCCTGGCCCACACGGCAGCGGCCCCCACCTCTTGGGGCCCTGCTGCTGCTGTCCCAAACCTCAGACGGTGTGTTCTCATGAGCTAACCAGGTCCACGTCCTGCAGACCCTGCAGATGGCGCTCAGACTGGGACTGGGTCAGAGAGAGAGAAACAGCCGGAAATGGCGCTGAAGGAGATGGATCATATACCTCTGATGTCCCTAGCTGGTACTCCCGAGTGCTTTTTCCCATGGAAAAAAAAGATTATAAATGGGTGATGAGGCCCACAGTGCAGCTACAGTATGGATTAAATAAGGCTTTTATGGCCTGACCTCGGAAGCAGACACCCATTTATAAGTCGTTTTCCGTGGGAAAATGCAATTTGAGTTCCATAAGGCCGACTTGCCCATGAAAAATGACAGCCCAGCGCGTTTGTAAGTTGGGATTGCGCTGCCCAGAACTGTGAGATCCTCTCCCCTCCTCCCCCGAATAGCTGGAACTGCTGGGACATTCAGGGTCTGTGGTAACTTTTGTTTATATAATGCGGCCACTTAAATTAGGAGCATTTCGTCTGGGAATAGAAAATTGCCGTATCCCCTTTCCAAAATCAAAGGACACGCATTTTTCAGCCTTGAGCGATACGTTTGTGCTCCAGAAAAAAAAAACAAAAAACTGTTCATTTCTTCTGTGGTCCCTGGGGCCACCTGGAGGCTCGAACCATATGATTTTGGGGAGAGAAGAGACTTAAGACCAATGTTGAACGTTGGCATGAATCATGAGGGGGGGAAAGTTTGTGCTCCGCTTATTTTATGGAGGCAAAACAGGAATCTCAGTGCTTGTATTTTTTTATTTTATTTTTTTTTTAAAGAAGGAAATGTAAGCCAAGCACACACACTTTATTTATGAATTTTGTCAAAAGCAATGTGACGGTTTTTGCTGAGCACCCTTGGTTTCTGTTAGTTTCTCTAAGGAATTCTGTGGGGAAGAACATGGTGGAATGGTATAACTGCATTGTCTCATTAGGAGCAGCTATATTTTACTAAATATGTGCATTTATGGTCATGCTCTAATAAAACATACAGCTGAAGTTTTATGGGACTCGTTTGTTTTCTGTCCATTTTCTCATTTTTCAGCCCAATGTCTGTGGGAAATGGAAAAAAAAAAAAAAAAACCAAAGTGGTGTTTTCTCTTTCCAGAGCTCGTACCAGGACACCTTGGAATTCCTCATGGCCAGCCGTGATTTTTGCAAGTCCTTCTGGAAAATCTGTGTTGAACATCACGCGTTTTTTAGACTTTTTGAAGAGCCCAAACCAAAGCCAAAGCCTGTTCTTTTCAGTCGAGGGTCATCGTTTCGGTTCAGGTAAGGATTCGGCTTCGGACCTCTCCGCCGGCCACGCGAACATCTCCCCCCAAGACGTTCCTCGTGCCGTTGCCTTTCGCAGCCGCTGTGCCCTTCAGCGGGGAAACAAGGTCCAGTCGGTCCCTGAGAGCCAGGCGGGGGTTGGCTTGGACATCCCAGTAGGCCCCGTGGCAGATCCTTGCTGTGTGCTGTGTGAATGTCAGGCGCGAGGCAGGCTACCAGCCCACAGTAAACTCTGAACGGCCTCTAATTCAGAAAGTCCTTCCTTTCTCTATAGAATAAGGTGACCAGACGTCCCGCTCTTGGCAGGACAGTCCCGATTTTTAACAATTTGTCCCGCATCCCTTTTTTAAAATGCTGCGGGACAAATTGTTAAAAATCTGTTCACCTTACTCTAGAAGCAAGTGTCTTGTTAACATTTGATGCAGCTAGACTTGCTCATCGTCAGCTCACTTTTTCACTCTTTCTTTCAACACGTCTAACGCCCACTGCACATCAAGTACGCTGCTAGCCATTGGGTTTGTATGGAGGACAGAATTACCCCTGCCTCTACAGAGCATACAGACTCAGGATGCCCCCTAATAACCAAGCTTAGAATCAAGTGGTTTAGTTCATTGAACCTTTTTTTTTTTTTTTTAGTTTAAAGGGAAACATCAAGAGGCAGAAGAGACACAAAAACACGGTTTTCCTTAGTCTGCTTTCACTGCTGTCTCGCTGGGAAAGCCCGCCTGCCGCGTGTTATGGGAGGAGGGGAGGGAGGATGGTGGAGTGGCGTGTTGTGTGCTTCAATGAGAACGCCTTGCTGTCTTCCCCTTCCTCTGGTGGTCTTCGTTTTAGCGGCCGGACTCAGAAGCAGGTTCTCGACTACGTTAAAGAAGGAGGACATAAGAAAGTGCAGTTTGAAAGGTAAGAGGAACTTCGTGCTGCGTCGATACCAGAGGAGTCAAGTCCTCTCCAGGTAACAGTGCAACCGCTGCTAGGTGTCTCTGCACCCCGGCGAGGTGAGTTAGAGAGTGGCTGCTTCACAGTCGCCTCGGCCAGTGAAGTGTGAAGCAGGCTCCTGGGAGGGCCCAAGGTGCTTCCCCTCGGGAAGCAGAGGGGAAGAGAATGGACTGAGAGGACCAGGGAGGAAGAAGAGGGAGAAGCCAGCAGAGGGGAGGGAGGCAAGAGGAATAGGAAATTATGGTGGGGATAACTTACTCCTTGGTGAGTCCTTAACTATTTGGAGGGTTGAATTGAAAGTATTTTTTATGAACTTGTTCATTAAATCAAGTTTGGAGGAGAAGAAACAGGATTTATCATCGCTGTCGTTAGCCAGTGTTTATTGCTCTTATGATGTCCTGGGCCATGTTCCAAGTTCTTCAGATGTATTTACTCGTAGTCTTCATACCCATGCTGTGAGGTCCATGCTGTCTTAGTCCCTTATTTTAAAAATATATCTTATTGATTTTTCACAGAGAGGAAGGGAAAGGGATAGAGAGCTAGAAACATTGATGAGAGAGAAACATCGATCAGCTGCCTCCTGCACACTTGGTTGAAGGCACTTGGTATGTGCCTTCAACCAAGGTACATGCCCTTATCCGGAATCGAACTTGGGCCCCTTGAGTCTGCAGGCTGATGCTCTATCCACTGAGCCAAACCGGTTAAGGCATCAGTCTCTTTTTAAAGGTGGGGGCACTACAGCTCTTAGAGGTTAAGTGACTAGCCCCGGTCTCTGAGCTGGTCAGCTGGCCCCAGAGCCCTGGAGCTGCTCTGCCTCTCAGGGCGGGAGACGCAGGGAACCCAGAGGAACTAAGACCCAAGGGTCAAGGTGTGCGTGATGGTGCTCCCAGGACTGTTCATGACATGCTTTTTCCATTTGAATACATTTAAAAATTATAGTAAAGTACACAGACTACGGCAAACACCCATATTCTTACTCCTTAGAATTAGCATTTTAACAGACCTGTTTCTGGAGTTCTTTTTCTTCTTTTACCTGTCGCTATTGTCACAGATGTTACAGATGTGCCTTTCTTACCTGCAACCTTCTTATTTCCCTTCTTTCCTCCCCAGGAGACACCTGGCTAATTTATGTCACTTCTGTTACCCATCTGTGTGTATCCAGAAAGAATACATAGACTAGCTCTGGAGTGTGTGTGTGTGTGTGTGTGTGTGTGTGTGTGTGTGTAAGTGGTATCACACTGTGCAAATTCTGCATCTTTTTAAATGCTTCCCCGATTTGGGATCTTTTTACGTGTTTCCTGGTTTTGAGGGCATTACCTTTTATTTACTTGATTCCCTGTCTGGCTGTCTGGCGTTTTGCTTTTGCAGAAGCAAACCTACTGTGGTCATCTTTGTGTATTTCTCCTGGTGCAGGTCTGGGCCGTTTTTCCCTCCCAGAAATGTAATGTTGAGTGGGTTATTTGCATGCTCACCTAGAAGGAACAAGCCCCATGCTTTTCTTGGACAATCCACCATTCATCTTTCGAGGGTCATAGAAGAAGTGGCCTAGTTCTTTCTCTGGTCCAGAATTAATTTGGATTATTTTGAAGGAAGGCTGGATGCACATTGGAATTTCACGTTTCTATGTTTCTATAGTTTGACACATTTGAGTACCTGAAAGTTCCTAATGCTTGTTCACTGGGGAGGATGGGATTGACAGAAGAAGGAAGGGAACAGATGAGGAGTGGCATTAGAGCCAATTCCTTCTACTGTTGAGTCGGTAATTCATTCTCAGGGCCATTCTTCTCCTCTGAATTTAACACCGTGGAAGGGTTAACCAATGAGTAGTAATTGTCTCTGTTGTAGAACTGATCTAGGAAATCACTACCCCAAAAGCACGAGTTGATTTCATATTGTGAGATCATAGCTTGCAATTCAGAGCCTATGTCTCTCCCCCACTCCTCCTCCCAGTGACTTTTCCCATAACTACAGTTAGAGCCCCATTGCTAGGACCCCAACCGGCTGTACCCCTCAAACAGGAGCAGGGGATTGCTGAGAACTCTCTCAAGGTTTATGTAATCTTGGAACCTACAAGAGTTAATGAGAAAGGAGACTGGGCCTGCTTCCAGGGGGCCATTTATATCGCCTGCTTTTGGTGATTTCATTTTTGAGGAAGTGCCTAATGCTGTTATTTTTCATTAAGAAAAAATACAAATGCGCGCACACACACAAAAACAAATAAACAAACAAAAAACTCGCCTAACTTGAGCTGTCTTATGTGTTTTCTCCAAGGAAACACAGCAAGATTCACTCCATCCGAAGCCTTGCTATGCAGCCCACGGAGCCGAATTCGGAAGTGCCAAAACAAGTGAGTACTGGTGGTAGACTGTCCGAGCTCTGCTTTCACGGACTTCCCCTGCCGGGGTCTGTTTGGTAGCATGCTTTCGAGTTCCACATCCTTCGCCTGTGCGGGTGACTCCTGGAGGAGAGTCCAGCTGTGTGCCCTGATCTTGGGGACACAGGCTGGGCTCCGTGGCTGGAGCGTGCTTTTTCAGCTGACTCCCCACCTCCCCCACCCCCCCTGCTCTCCCCATGAGATGCTCGCTCTGTTGGCCTGAACCCATGGTGGGTAGAGGCTTCCACGGGAGTCAGAAGAGCAGAGCCCACCCTCCAGCCGACGGGGACGCTTGTGTGAAGGGATGGGGACCTGATTTGCAACCAACAGGCATAGGTGCCCTCTTGTGCCGGGGGCAGAACCTCTCGCTGGCACTGGCCCGGGCGGGCGGGGCGATCCCAGGGCTCACGTTTCAGGGCAGTGACCGCAGTTGGCAGCAGGAGACGTTATCGCTCTTGCTCTGAGGGCGGGGAGAGCTCGTTTTCCCTGGAGCTGGTCCCTGGATGGATTGTCAGGGTTTTCTCTACAGGAGAATAAGAACTTTGTTGGGAAAGACACGAAGGAGATTTCATTGTGTGATCCAAAGAGAGCCCTCGGCCTGCTCATTCTAGTCTTAGAAGCACAAACAAAGACGCTTTTTGTCACTTGTCTGAAATCCGTGTCAGCTCCCAACTGGGGTCCACGAAGGGTGTTCTTCCTGTCCCGAATCTCACTTCTCCAGACATCCCCCTCTGGCCTGGGGGGCTCCTTTCCCACAGGTGATTTGGGACTGGGGAGTCCCAGAGAGCGGAGACCCTGCCCACCTGGTGCTGCCGGGGACCCCGCACTGCCAGCTCCCGCACTCTGAAAGAACTCTCCGGATACTGACAAAGGCACTCAGGGGTGCCCGCTGCTTGTCAGACCTCTGTCCTAACCTATAGGAATCTCTTTCACGTCCCACGTGGAAAGAGTTCCAGGGACGTGAAAGAGATTCCTATTCAGGGTTCGGGTTCTGGAGAAGGGCCGCACACAAATGAAAGGACTTGAGCCTTGAAGAAATTCAGTTTGGCGATATCGGGGGCCGGGCAGTAGACCAACTCAAGTGGGAGAACTACTCCTTCTCTGGCCCTGCCGTGCCCTTTTATTGAGGCTTTGGGGAAAACATCTTGGGCAGCATAAGCAGAAATTTACATGTAGCCCTTAGCCAGGAAATAACGGAAGCTTTCACAGGACAAACAAGGTGGAGGCTGCTTCAGCTAACAATGTCTCAACTAGAGGGTGAGTGGTTAGAGCAATTAAGGTTGTTGACCAGCCTTCCTGGCTTTCTGTCCACATCCCTCTTTTAGTGAAACTGATTTGTTTCCGGCACTAACACCGGGGAGGTGGGCCTTCATTGGGTGATACTTGCAGGCTGCCCAAAGCTTACGGAGATACAATTCAGCGAGGCTGAACCTTTCTCTCCAGCTCTGGTCTAACGGTCTGCCTCTTCTCTCCGATCTTCTCACCCTTATCCTCTCTACCTCCCCCACACCCTCCCTCCCAGGCTCAGCAGAGGGCCAGCCTCACTCCCGGGGAAGGTGCTGAATCCCCAGGCGGCCAGAGCTGCCAGCCAGCAAAGGAACGGAAAGTGTCCACCGAGGAGTGCGGGCCGCGCCAGAGCCCGGCTCTGCAGAAGAGCCCGGCGGGTCACCAGCGGGCCGGTGTGGCCGTGGAGGCGGCAGCGGCGGTGGCGGAGGAAGAGGAGGAGGCTGCCAAGGACAGGACGCAGCAGAGTAAACCTCAGCCCCCGCAGCCAAGCACAGGTCCAGCATCCCGGGCTGCTCGAGGCAGCAGCACTTCTATTCCTTTCATTGACTGCAGTGATGTAGATAGCGAATACGACCTGCTCAGGGAACAGACGTCCCGGTCACGGTCCCAAACAAATGACAACTATGAGGGTGATTTGACCAGTGGTGTGTATCTGCTCTCTGGGGAGGAGAGGCGGGGAGACGCTAGGGGCAGGGCTTCCCCTCGCTCGGGGAAGGCCTCCCGGCCTCCTTCCAGAGAATTCCTGGATGACGATTCCGCAGACATCACCTTTGACGTGAGCGGGAGCCCCAGACTCCCGAGGCATAGCTCCCTGATAGATGAGATGTTCAGGGGCTGCGGCGGCCGCAGCCCCCTGGCCACGCCATTGTCTCCCAGCAGCAGAAGTTCAAGTCCAGATCTGAGTTGGGATAGGACCGGGTCTCAAGGCTACATTTCCGAAAACGGGCACGGCCCTCGGGAGGGAAGTGTGGGAGAAGGCGCTCTCCCCGGCCGGGGTCCTCGTGATGAAAGCGGCTCCCCCGTCTCCCAGAGGCCGTACTTACGCAACCTCCCCAGTAGATACAACAAGTCAGAGACAAACCCGCTCATCCTGAGCCAGGTGGCATCCATCCCCGAGGCCCTGGACAGGCTTGATGGCCACGGGAAGGGCGAGCCGACTGGCCTGGCTGGTTTGGAAGGTAGAATGCTGGCAAATGGGACCCCTCTCCTGGGTCCCGCCCCCAGGGTGCCTGGGGTGCAGCCGGGCTGTGCCAGCGGCGTGGCAGACCCCCTGGCCCCCCTGCAGCTGACCGAGGGCTCCACCAGCAGCGGGACTGAATCCAGTGATTCAGACTCAGAGGCAGTGAGCCCCTGGAGCCAGCCCCTGGTGTTTGGGAACCCCGCGGTGCTGGGCTCCCCTTCCCCGAGGAGAAGTAAGAAGGCCGTGGGTGGCCTGCATCTGAGCGAGGAGCAAGAGGAGGAGGATGAGTGAGGAGACCAGAAGGCGTGCATTTACGTGTCAGGAGCTGGGAGTCATGAGGCCAGGGTTTCATGCAGACCCTCTGTGCTAGTGACTCGTTCATTCGTGATCCACATTTGTTAGAGGACGTTCTGGGCAGGCACATGTTTGGATAGGGCAACACCTGACTTCTAAAATCTTCCAAAGAGACAGAACTTCACACGGTGGCTTGCTTTCCCAAAAAAGGTGACCAAGATAAAGAGCAGGTCATCATGACATGGCACCGGGAGCTTGTCAATCTTTCTGGGCGGAGGCTAGAAAGAAAGACTCCGTAGGAAGCTGATCGTGCATATGGCGCGTGTGGAACGTTTTCTATAAATGCTTAATTTTGTGTGCAGATCATCCTTCTGTTTTCGGAGCATCATCGAGATCCAGAAAGGTGTTAGTTTTACTCCCCCCTACCCCCTTTCTTTAAAAGGAGGGCAGGTTTTCGATGCCTCCCAAAGTCAGGAATTGACAAAATTTGAGGCCAAATGTAAGTCGATTGTTAGTGGAGATTAAGTGTCGGTGAAACCTTAGTCAAGAGTAATGAACATTGTAATGGGAAGAATTTAGAGTTATTTGTTCTTTCTAAACTTATATAAAATGACATAAAGGTTGTCAAATCCTCAAACGATAATTTACATGGGGCTGTTGTTTTGATTTTGGATTTGCGTTGTGGGTGAATAGTTATGTTTTGTTTTGTTTTTAATTTTTTTTTAATATATTTTATTAATTTTTTACATAGAGGAAGAGAGAGGGATAGAGAGTTAGAAACATCGATGAGAGAGAAACATCGATCAGCTGCCTCTTGCACACCCCCTACTGGGGATGTGCCCGCAACCAAGGTACATGCCCTTGACCGGAATCGAACCCGGGACCTTTCAGTCTGCAGTCCGACGCTCTATCCATTGAGCCAAACCGGTTTCGGCAATAGTTATGTTTTAAGAAGCTGTAACTCTGGCTGTTGGAACCTCTTAGTGAAACATAGAAATGCCGTTGAGTGACGGACGATGCAGGAGACAGGAAAGCCTTGCAATGGGCATTTGTCCCCAGGAGGCGAGCACACGGAATGCCTGCCTTCGCCTTATGCCCAACACAGAGAAGGAGCGTTTCCCAGAGCCGTGGTCCTTGGTTTTTGTGCCGCTGGTTTTCATGCACGTTCTCAACTGTTCACTCTTGTGAACAGTGAGTGTCTTGGGAAGTGACTCCTGGTGTTTCTCTGTGAGAAGTCTGATTTCTCTTTAAATCTTAAGCCAGTGCCTTTCGCCAGCAGACCTGCAATTTAGATAAGAGAGCCTGGTTTTTCACTTGCTTTATTTCTCAGCCTTAGCTACACATTTTAAAATTAGTGATGCCTGGGCCCTGACCCTGGACATTTTTATTTAATTGGTCTGGAGGGCCACTTGAGCCCCCCAGGCCACGGGTCACTTTCCAGCCAGATACAATTGCCTTCTAGGATCTAGTTTAAAAGATTAGCTGAATTTTGAGCTTGCTGGCAGAGTAAGAAGAGTATCACAAATGATTTTTTTTTTTTAATGCCTGTTCTTTAGTACTTTTCAGTCTTTGGTATTTTTTCTATAAAGGTGAATCGTAGAATCAGATTTTTAGATTCTAAGTAACTACAGAATTATTGAAAAAAGGTTTTAGAATGCTAAGTCCCTGTTGTGCCACCATGCCAGTGGCCTTGCTAAACGCATTATGTGACTCTCGCAGAGGAGAGGCTGAGCCTGTTTGGGAAACTGAGTAGAATTTGGCAGCAGCACATCAACTGTAGAAGGACTGCCTGGCTTTGTGGTTCACGGTCATCGTCTGTCCACCTGAATGTCAAGAAGCTGGTTTTTAGGATTCTGAGAACTTAATTCATTTGTATATAAACTTTTGTTTTAACCTCCTGATCATTTGATTCAATGCATGATTGATGAATCAAATTGATTATTGGATAGTTTGAAAGATGTTCATTGAAGTAGTCTTTTTATGTCTTACTTTAGATTTATATACCTAATAGAGTCACAATTTTAAAACTGGAAGGGACCTTAGAGATCACCTAGGGCAAGCCTTCATTTTCTGGATGAGAAACCTTGTTCTGACCAGGCTAGGAGACTTCACCTGGTCGTACTAGTGAGTGACAAAGCTAGAACCCTATTCCTAGACTTCAGCTTTTTACTGTAAGTGACCGCTTCCTGCAGTAGGACCTTTGTGAGTCAATATTTTAATTTTTGAGACTCTCGTATGGATTAATAAAGTCATATACTGACCAGGAATCATGTAGACTTAGGCAATTGTAGTTCGTCCTAGGTAGGAAGGACTCCTGCTTTCTATACCATAGTGTTTTTGCAGTTAGGACATGTTTTTGCCTATTCTGTTTTAGACTTAGAAAAAGATATCAATTTACTGTATAAAAAAATCTAATCAAATGTGAGTTACACAGGGTCACATTTGCAATCCTGTGGTTTATTTGTGAATGTGATTTGTCCAAGTGAGTTTTCTCTTTACCTCTAATTATACAGCAGTCTGATAATGAAATGTGAATGAGTAATAATATTAACTTCTCAGCCTGTGATGTGAAACATCAAATGTAAACCTCCAAAGCAAAACAGGCTCCAGTAATTTGTTTTGCTTTTTTCCTTAAAGAAGTGAGTTTAAAAGCAGCTGTTCAACAGTGGAGCACTCAGTTCTATACCGAATAGATTGTCCACTTTCAGGGCTGTTCGTAGAATTTCTCTTGTGTTGGTTTGGTACCAGCCAAGCAACTCATTTCCGGCCTCTTGGCCAGTATTTATGAAAACAACAATCCTGGTGTGATTAACGGTGCTTAAAAGGGAGGGAGTGTAGTTCAAAAGCCACATACCCTGAAGTGCTGGGAATATTCACTAATTGCCTCTGGAGGAGCTGGCCCTGCACGAATTGATTTCAAGCGTTGGTGGGAGAGTAAACACTATCATTCTTTGAGCCCAGCAGACCAGTTTGTAGAGGTGACGTGGTATCTCACTGTGCATAGATCGAGGAAAGCCAGCCGCCTCCACCATCTCACCTTCCATGCCCTGACCTTTTGCACAACTCTTTCCCTGGCCTCTGGAATCTCACTGTGTGGCTTACGGAGGTGTGCGCAGGCATAAAGTTGAAGTAAGAGTGAGGGAAGATCAGAGAGGGGCTTGAGCAATGTGAAGAATAGACAACAGATTAGAAGCCTGTGAATTCTTTCAGATTTCCAGAGGGTTTTCCAAGACAACATACAGTGAAGAGGTCTCTGGGATCAGCAGGGAACCCAGGTCTTCACATAAGGGCTACTCTAGGAAAGGATATCATGAAGGCCTTGAATGGGAGACGGATTTGGTAGAAACAAATCCCCAAGCCACTCAGGCCTACTCCAGGGCCTCCTTATATAAATATCTTCGGCTAGGTAGTATTTCAAAATATGTGAATTGTAGACCCTTTTGTGGTTGGTTTTGTTGCTGCTTGTTCAGGGCAAAATAAAAATGTAAGAAATCATCTTAGCATGGAGAAATGCATTTAATGAGTTCCAGAATCTAAAATGATTTGCTCCAGCTCTTTTTAACAGTCATCTGTATTCCATTGCCGATATTTTATTAGACAGGCATTTAATTAAAGGAAGTCTGTGGGCCAGATTCTTCCCCCACATATGTGATTCATATTTGGGAATTTCTCACAGATTTATCTCACCAAATTGTGCCATGTGGCCTGCACTTAAAATGTGGATAACTCCGATTTTATTCTCAAGAACTTCTTTGAAGATTCAAGCCACACAATGCTAAAAATAGCGAGGCCTGCAAAACTAAAATACAGCGCGAGTCTCATGAAATTTCCACCCAGTGTACAAAATCCAAGCTGTCCTCAACTGAGTCAGACACTCAACTTGCATTATTAGCCTTGGATTCATTTGGATTGTGGTTGCCAAGCAGTTTCTGAAAGAAGAAAAAGATGAAAACAGTAAACTGCCCTTTTAACTTGTATTTAAAACGTTGGGAATGCACATATCTATAACATCCGTGTTCA